ATCTAGTCAGTTCCACACATGTATATAAATGAAGGAAAAAGTTGTGTGAGTAACTTGATATGATTATGAGTGGCAGTAATTTGTGCTCGAAACGTGGTCATCAGTTAATAATACTGTGTAACACTGTGTGACTTATCAAAATAAAACCTTATCCATAATTGAGATAGCAAGAAGAGCGTATTGTGCAGCATAAAATGACGTCGTACGTAGACTTAATGACACGGTGGACATCCTCAAAAGTTTACCGATAAGCACAAGAGGATAGATACCAAAGCGACATTTTATGGAGTATAAAAATAAATCAGTCTTTATTATTCATTGGGTTCAAAGCTGATAATGTATCCAGTTGACAGTTTACTCACAGTTTGCCGAATCACATGCTCACTGAGATAATCTAAGGTTGACAAGTCCCTTTTTTGTGTTACTTCCAAATGCATATACCGGTTAACATGTAGGTGTGAAAGCACAGGCAATGAACGAGCAGAAGAAAGAATTTCCGGCTCACCACCTTTTTAATACAGAGGTTATGAAATCGATGCGTTGATGTGTAGTTTGTGCATGTTTGTGGGAAGCTGACAAGAAAGAACCAATCAAATAGAATGACATCATTTTATCCCTACACAGTAGGTCTTTCTCGCTTTCAGTAAGGATTAAAGTAATCACGGAGTGTTTTCGCGCAATAGCATACATGATACGCGTCACGATAGATAAAGAAGTAAAAAAAAATACGACACCTTTTTAAACACCTAAACGCAAAATTTGACATCACTAGAACATTCCTCTAACCATGTAACACAAAACATAATCAAAGATCAACTGCAAAAGGAAATTCCAGTCGTGCCTTCAAATTGTCTCTTCTCTGTCATATTAAGGAGGAAGGTAAATTTCTTTGACTACAGTTTATACACTCACCTGTAAATCTATATTTGGTAAAAGTTGTTTATAATATCTCTATGACTAAGTTACATGTGATTATGTATTATAACCAGTGAGGTCCAATTAGATGTCACATGAGCGGATGGATGTCCCGCCTACGACGAAGGTTGGTATCGCGCTAAATGCATCACGAATTGGTTGAAGTTAGAATTCATATGTTAGCTATGGAATTAGGTCTCAGTGATTGAATGGTATACGAGCTCGCTGGCCTTGTAACCAGAAGGTTCTGGGTTCGAATCCTGGCAGTGGGTGTGTACTGCCAATGTTTCCCAAACTAATGGGATGAAATAGCTGTCCAATACTCCAGTGCTGGTTTTCACTGGTTCTCTAACTGGTATCAATCCGTGGTCAACCCGTAAAAGTATATGTGATGAAGTAGTTTACTCTATAGATTTCATCATAAACCAACATCAGATAGAGGATCAACGAAGACCAGTGGGAAGTGTTTGGACAGCTGTTTCATCCCAGTTTTTAATGCTCTTCAGTACTGTGTATCCATGAGCTATTTCCACATAAGTGAAGATCCTGAATTCAATCCCAAGGGGAGCTGGGGTCGTAGGTGTTCAATGATAAAGAATCATGATCTAGGACAGTACAACTGTCTAAATGCTTCCTGTTGGTCATTCCTTCATTGATTCTGTAACCGACGTTAGTTCATGATGAAATCTCTAGAAAAATACCCTATATAATTCAGAAATCATGTAGTTGTTTTAGAACGGTTAACTTTTAACAGCGGTAAATTCTTCACTTCTCAAGTTGACTTGACACAGTCATTTCACTTCCCAATGAGAACTAATAACAATTTTTTAGAGGAAGATTTAGACACATTTTTTATTAAATATATTTTATTTAGGCCGCCTTTTTTTGGTAAATGGAAAAAAATAAATCCATTAACCAAAAAAAGGGAAACATTTATTTATTTGTTTATTTTATACACTTGCTAAGTTCAAACAAGCATGTTTTAGGTGTGCTTCGTTTTTTTTTCCGGCTATTCTTCTTTCTCAATGAATGATGCATTTCTAAACAGACTTTATTATGACTACCTACATGTGTTACGAAATTTTCTGAAAATATAAACAAACACTTTCTTTATAAACTCGCCCAGCATGACCTATCCACCTCTGTTCTAAACATTTATTCATTTATTTTTGAATGAATAAAATTCAAAATTGTATGTAACAAGATGTGAAAAGAGAAAGGTCTGCACAGTTCATTTAACATATCTCCAAATTCTGTTGTTCTTATTAATAAACTTATTAATTTCGTTTTTGAGAAAACAGCTGTTATTGTACTTTGTTCACTCAGTATTTTCTTGTCCTATCAGATATTTTTTTTTTAAGTTATCACCCGAAGAGTCATAAATGAAAAAAGGTGCACGCATGTGTAAAATCACTTTCAAAGGCATTCATCGATGCGTTAACACTTCTCAACAACAAAAAAACACAGTAGGAGGTTAAGCAGTACTTTAAAGCTTCTTCAAAAGTCTGTAATCTTTCTCTCCCTCTCTCTATATATATACTTTTTATTTTATTTCTTTCCGTTCCCATGGGGACATAGGGCTTTCAGAGAGAGCTTGAAAGTTTCAGTAGCGATAATGTTTACTTTTAGGACGTGAGGATCCCTCATGCTTAACATTCCTCCCATTATTGATCCTATTATCTACCGGCTTACCAAGATATAGCAGTGCAACGGCCGGGGGTCAGACTCCGAACCACAAGCGTGGTTGGGGAGGATTATACCACTGCACCACCAACGCATATATATTTATACATATGTATATACAATTCGTACGACACTTCATCAAGATTTGACCTAACAGTTCAGCTGTGTTGAGAGCTGGCTGTTGGCCAAAGTTGGTGGACAGTAATTTACGTCAATGTTTATGTCCCCAATATTGGTCGTGAGAAAAATGAGAACAAAGGCTTTGCGTAGGTGGATACACTTAACATAGAGATGATCTGGCATCCAAGAAACAGTCACAAAGAGATGCAAGGTTAACTTACTGTCAGAAACAACCAGTCAGAAGACTGTGTCTGTTTGCTTGAATAAGCTATAATAATGTACATGAAATTCTATAAATATACGTTGATTTCCTTAATAAGCGATATGTTGCCTAGCCCTTACCTTCTATTGTTACAGTGCAATAACTGGTAATGATTAAAAAGTAGACATATTTAAGAATTGTTTTAGTGTACATCTCAGCGGAACTGAAATTAGTAAGTTCTGTCTAGTTCAGGTAACCACTTCTTTGAACTTCTTCAGTGAAATAATCAAAATTAAAATGCCAAAGATTTGTTTGATTGGACATTTGAACTGGTGTCACGCGTCTAGTCCTTTGTTTATTGCAGACTGAATTCTTTGAGTGAAATTTGCAATGTTTCCAGCATACTAGGTGGATTGGCACCACGGTGCACTTTGATGATGTGTTAGATGGTTGGAGGCAACATTGGAAGGAAGCCGCACCTGACCTAGGTCTCATGCTAGCTGGCACTTACCAGTCAGTCAGCAAGGAGTACCGTACAACCTTTAGGGGAATCATGTCCCTTCTGAGATTCGAGCCCTGTGCTGCAGAAGGGACTTGGTTCCTTCAAGGTTGCAGATACGCCTTGTGAGTGATTTGTGAGTGCCAGAAAGCATGAAACCCTGGATCAGGCCACACATCCTCCAATTTGCCTCCAATTATCTGATAACATCAAAGTTATTTTTTTTTAATGTACATACTGTCTTTGAAATCCTTGTTCAGTCATCATATAGCAGTACTGTCAACCACTGCCATAGATAAACATCCACGTCGCCTTTATCTCTAACTGATGTTGGCTCGTAGGTGAATCATCCACATTGAAATTAATCCAGTTCCCTACACAATCTTAAGCTTATTGATGGCTACACAATGGACGTCCTCAAGCTGTGCGGAGAAGTCGTGACTAATGGAGTCCACCATGTTAGCGTGGAATTAGCGCTATATCATTAACTAACAGATAAAGGGTTTACAAGTCAGTGAACTCCTCCTTAAGTGACTGAATGATCAACCAACTTGGTCTCGTAACCTGAATATTCCGTGTTCAGTTTCTAGTGCTGTCATGGATACTGATTGATGAAGAGTCCCAAAACAGGTTAGATAGAAACAGTTGTCCAATTCTTCCTGTGGGTTTTCCAATGGCCTTCTATAACCTATGTCAGTTGATGATAAAGTCATGTAACCAATCAAATCCCTTCAAACCAACACTTGAATATCAATGAGATGCTCACTAGCGACTGGTCCTAATTAGGTAAGCAGTTACCTGAGTTTTGGCGGGAAGTAGTGCCCAGTGGTGTACAGCAGGTGAAGTGTGAAGTGGGATCAAATACTCGCCCATGCTGACATCGGCTAGTGGTCAAGCTATATCCTGAATTGGCAGAAGTTGGAATTCATGGGCTGGCCATTCCATGGGTGACCTGAAGGCTCTGGGCTCGAACCCTGATGGTGAGTGCAAACTGATGAAGACTCCGAAACCAGGCTGACGAAACAGCTGACCAGTGTTCGCTAGTGTTGGTCCTTGTCGATATCTACCTTAGAGTTAATCCAGATCCCTATAAAGACTCATAATCTGGACAGTTTTTTCAAGTGTTGGTTTGTAGGGATTTGATTGATTAGTCACATGATTTCATCATGAGCTGACATTAGTTAGAGAACCATTGGAAAACCACCTGGGAGTACCGTACAGCTGTTTCGTCCTAGTTTGGAACTCTTCGTCAGTACGCACCCACTGGGATTCGAACCCAGGACCTTCTGGTTACAAGGCGAGCTCGCATACCATTAAGCCACTGGGACCCGATCAAATGGCCAATCCATGAGTTCTAACTTCTGTCAATTCATGACATAGCGTGACCCCTAGCCAATGTCTTCGGTGAATGTTTGTCCTCACACCCGACCTGCTGCACCCTACAGTTTTTACTTAATTTTTGATGTAATTCACCTTTAGAGGTGTTTTAAAACGACTATTTTTTATAATGACTGATGAAGAGAACTTCATGAAATATCATCCATCACCTTATTCTGTTTATTTTTGCTTTTTTCATGCCAGATCACCTTTATTCGCCACATCAACAACAACAACAACAAAAGTCTCTTCCACAACACCAACAACTCCAACAACAACAACAGCAATCGCAACAGTCATGCCGACAACAAAACAATATCAATGAATCATCGTGTATCAGCTTTTGTGATTGTTTATATTCATCGGAAAATAGTACTGGGGCTGGTTCATTTTCTTGTACAAATTCCAATAAATACTTGTTATGTAATAATAATAATAATAGTAATAACACAAACCTAGGTGGACGTTGTTCATCGTTTAGAAATCCACCACCTCCACCCGACATTAATACTTACAGCGCGAATGAAATACTTGGTAATTTAACAATGACACGTCAACAGCAACAACAACAAGAAGTGAAGACGTATCACGATATTCCATCGAATAATAATAGTAATACAACACCATCTCAATTTGCATTCAATATAGACTTACTTCAAACATCTCAACTATTAGATAATAATAGTAATAATAACAATAACACAGATCTGATCATTAACGCACCACACTGAGGGAACTGGTTTTATAAATACACAGAATTCCCTTGAACAATATCTCAAGTAAGTAAATATGGTGACCTATAAACGAGTCTGTTGCCATTCAAGCTACTAGATTACATCTCCTGATATGTTGTTTTATTCAGACATTAACGAATCTCATGCCTATATATATATATATATGAATTAATAAAAAGACGGTTGCAGCGAAGAAAATTTTCTTTTCGTTGAAGTCACCGTCACCTAGGCTGTACATTCATGTATTTATAACAGATGGATGGGAAAGTTTCTGAATAATTTCCGGTTAAGGGTCAAATTAATAAAATTACAATCAGGAATTAAACAGGGGGCGGATAAAGCTCAAACACAGTAGCATCATAATTACCGAGAAGATTGACATCGATTGTGCATTTGGGGGTTAGAAATGTAGAAATAACAACAATAGACAGGATGTTTGGATAACAAAATCTAGTGGGATCATAACTAATGTGATGAATAATTGTTTATGCAGTTGGGGATTAAATATGCAGAAATAATAATACGACAAAATAGTCAGGAAGTTTGGATATGAAAATACGGTAGTGTAAATAGAGATTAAGAAAAACTTAGAAATAACATGAATAAACAAGAAGTTTGGATAAGAAAGTCAATGCGATAGTCACTATTAAAAGAATTATCTGTGTTGTGATGGCCATGGCACGGACAAGGGCTGAACGTATTTCTTTTGGATACATAGCTTGGGTTTGACCTTTTGCATACGTCCAGCATAATATGTCAATCTTCTCAGTACTTATGAAGCTACTTTGTTTGAGTTTTATCCATCCCCCTGTTTATTATGACATTTTAATTCCTAATTGTAATTTTACTAATTTGACCCTTAACCGGAAATTATTCTGGAACTTTCGGATCCATTTGTTATAAATACACGAATTTATAGCCTAGCTGATGTTGACTTCATCGAAAAGAAAATTTTCTTTCGCTGCAACCGTCTTTTTATTAATTCCTATGATTCAATGTGTATATTCCGTGATTTATATATACATATATACATGGCTGACTGACCAAGTGGTTTCAACACAGTTTCAACACTCCCTTCACTTTGCACATAAGGTAACAGAAGAGAGGAAAGAGAGATTCAAAAGACAGATGATAAACAGAAATATGGGGCAAAAAGGCTAGTAATCTGGAAAAACAATAGAGCGTTACTTAATATTATAAATCACAAAAGAGTAAATGCATCTGCTCCAGTCATTGAGAACGAGGATTTTGAGCCATATCACCAAATGTCTCCAGCCTTCATTGATTTTTACTGTCCCCAAGGACCCCAAACTAGGAAGCCCACACCTGTCTACGTGGTGGTTTCAGCTAACTGTTGTTGTGGAGTGGGACCTGCAGCTCCAGTTTTCGGGCATTATTATTTTTGTTGTCCAGCACAGGGCTTCACTAGCACAGCATCTTTATATCACTCTATTCTCTGAAGTCTGTCTGCATTAGCTGGCTCCACAATTAATTGTTCATTAGCATTCATCTCTTCCATGTCAGTCTTCGGTCGATGTCTAATTCGTCATTTCTCATTTGCATTTCATTTAAGGGCCTGTTGCATGATATCATCATCATTCACCGATCTCCTCATCGTTTTTGGTTGTCAAACTGATCAGGTGAACAGAACAACACTTCAAGAAAATTTCGGAAACCACGTGTCGAACAACCTGAAGCAGTGGATGAGAGATGATGGGAAGAGTGAGGCTTCTGCAGTCACACTGGGTGTGAGTGAGTGCGCCAAGATTGATTTCCGTCTGACTAAACTTCCCATCGAGTGGTCAGCCACAGTGAAATTGGGTGGACAGATGAAAATGTTTGGTCGCTTCAGAACGTCTCAACCTGACACTCAGATTATCTGTTACCACCAAGCCAGCAACAACTCATCACGATCACTCGTTCGATCAGAATTCCTGATCACAACAAATCATACAACTGAGTCAGTTATTGTTCAACTCGATTCAGTCAGGCTTTCGGACTCAGGACTCTACACATGTGTGCCTAAGGAGACTAGCAGTGCACCGGTGGCACAGTGGCTAGGACTCTCGCCGACCATGCACATGGTCAAAGGTTCGAACCCCTGCCGACACACACTTGATATCTATGGTCGGCCTGAAAAAATTGGGCTACCGATATCCATGCTGAAAATTCCATACTTGTACCAAAAATACAGTATGGAATCAAGCTGTAATCAAAAATACAATAAATAAGTAATTACAAAGCATAAATGAAATTCAAAATCTGTAAATTAGTTAGCAATGTAAACAGTTTAAGGGATGATAATATAGTTTTATGCAAATAACTGTAACCAGAAGATCCTGGGTTCTATCTAACCCTGGTAGTGAGCGCGCGCTGATGAAGAGTCCCAAACTAGGCGGACGAAACAGTTACCCAGTACTCCTAGCTGGTTTTCCAATGGTTCTCTAGCCTATGTCAGCTCTTGGTGAAATCCCGTAACCAAATCAGTCAAATCCCTACAAACCAATACTTGAATTACAAATCACACATGGAATAGAGACTCTTCCCTGAACGTCTCTTCACTTACATGACTGAATGGGAACTTTTAAAGCAGTTTAACATTAAGACTTTATAGTGTTTCTGAAAGGTGTACAATAAACTGTACCCTATGCATTTTAGTTGGGGCTATAATTCTAAGTATAAGGGTAAAATTTTTGGGGTACTTTGGTAGGATATAATTCCATATTGGATAGATATGTTTGAAACAGTAAGCAGTTTGATGCAGTATTACTAACTGGATAACATTTCGAGCACAATTTGGTGCTCATTAAACATATCAGTGTATTCTCACAGTTTCATAATTTGCTTTGTACTTGTTTTGCTTTCCTTCCTTCCTTTTTTTTAATTGCAGTTTTACATAAATTCAGTACACAGTCATTGCGTCATTTTGTTTGCACGGTGTTTGACGCTGACTGGATGAACAAAGATTTTGTCCGTTAACCTATCCCCTCATCTAACTATATTTCTTTTTATTATTATTTTCACTTTATTCCATACTGTTGTGTGCCCAAGCTTTACTCTGAATTACTTAACTAATGTGGGGTAATCATTCTAGATATGGCTAAATTTCCATGTTACAGTAGTATAACTGACCCTGGTCAACTAGTATGAATTGATAGTTATTGCTTAGTATTTGGAAAACTATAATATTAGAACAAGACATATAAGCGAACAATATTGTTTTCAATTAGATCCTCTTCTTCAGGCTTTAATCTAATTTACAAAGACTTATATATATAAAATTTTAACCAATGACGGTGATTTTGTGAATCATATAGGGCAAGACGTATCTGTACAGATGACTCCCTAGAGAATGAGCTAGGATACATCCAAAATACGTTGGTTCAAATGGGTTATCCTAGTAGATTTGCCAGGAGACACATGAACAACAAGTACAATAAAGTGAAACTGACAACAGTTAAAAAGAAACAACTGTTCATGAAACTGCAATTTAATGAGGACATGGCTAGTGAAGTCTTACATCTGAGATTATCGACAGCGATAAAACCTACTTATACTGCCACCACCCTCTGTTTGTCATTTTCCGGCTGCCGACCAATTATGATTGCTCAAGTGAAAGATAAGCTACCTAACTAACTGTGCCACTTCTATGTGTATCCATAAATTTAATTGCTCCTGTGGAGAAAGCTATATAGGCCGAACAACTAGACAGCTTAACAAACGCATTAATGAGTATCTCCATTCACTCATGGTTCGAAAAAGGTCAAATAAAATCCATACGAAGTTCTATTTTGGCTAATTTGATTGATAGTGGTCACCAGGTGGACAAAAATAGTGCCTTCAAAGTTATCTATCGCATTCTATCGAGCCTTTCGAACGGAATTCAAACCAGCCTTTTACACACAGCCAAAGCTATGGGAATTAATTCGAGAGAACAATCCTAGTCTTTGCATACAACAAAAGAAGTTTGTTCTACCTTTGTCTCTCCCTTGCCTGGCCTAGGTGAATTCTACTCAAAACCCTCCCACCCTTTCTTATCATCCCTCTCCTTCGTACTTTTATGATATTTATTTAAACTCTGATTATCGTTCCATTTGATTTGACCTAATTTATTTATTTATTGAATTGTCTACATATATGCGTGTACTAACTTTGTTATTCTTACCACCTATATAAGCCTTATTACCAATATTTTGTTGTTATTATTATAATCATCGTTATTAACTTCGTTCGAATATTCACCACATTATTATTATTATCATTATGATTATTATGATTGCTATTATTATTATGATTATTATTGTTTGATCCACAGAATCACTGTCATTGGTTAAAATTATATATATATAAGTCTTTGTAAATTAGAGTAAAGCCTGAGGAAGATCTAATTGAAAACAATATTGTTTGTTAATATGTCTTGTTCTAAATATATTATTGCTTCCATTTGCGTAGTTAATCAACGAGCGTTTGTCTCTGACTAAGCTGGATGGTTAGTTTAAGTGCCAACCTAAGTGACTTGACGCTTATCAAAAGACATATTAAAAGACTTATGACAAAGTATAGCCTCAGAGATACATTTGACTTCATCGACTCAGCGAAGGATGTCAACATGTCTGAAAGACAAATGATCTCATTAGATTTCGCCTCTCTATTCACAAGTATACCTCTAACCGAAATAATATGCTTCATTTGTAATTAC